TCGCCAGCGCCTCCGCTTGTCCGAAACACGGCAGCCGAACCAGAAACGGCTGCGGCCCTCCACACCGCCCCGGACTGGCTGCTTGGCGTGGCGGCCTCCTCCTCCCTGCTGGCCTGCGTGCGCTTTGGTTTTTTATTTCAAATGGACGTTTTAAAAAGAAAACACAGAACAAACCAAAACTACCTTCTGTTGTAGAAGACACTGACCGATTTGGAGAAGGCCTCGGGACTCGGAGAACCTGCTGGGCCCAGCCGCCCTGCGCTGGTGGCCGCTCTCTGGCCTACCTTCAGGATGTAAGGCCGCCGAGAGCCTGGGGTGGTTGCTGGTGGCGCCCGTTATTTTTTGTGATAGCAGTATTGTGCTTTTGTGGGGAAAGTGAGGTTTTTCTAACCCGCGTATATACCTGACATCCTTTATTTATTGGTTGTTAATGTTGCTGCTGCCCCTGCGCCCCGCACTCGGGGGCCGCGGGCCAACAGTCGCGTGCCCACACCACGCTTGCTTGGCAGGTTCCGGCCTGCAGCGGCCAAGAAGCCAAAAACCACTTTTTTCCTCTTTTCAGATACTGTGCTTGATGTCTGCAGAGGGGGCAGGGGGTGTTCCCTGACGGCTCACACACTGCTCCCCTCTGCCCGGGCCCCTCTGAGCCCTCGTGCCCGCCTCTCCTCCTCTGCCCGCCTCTGGGTCTGGGACAGTTTTTTCTTTTTTAACTGAAGGACGAACAGGCAACACTTCCCAGTTCCCTCCCTCTCTCTGCGTTGGCAGCCGCCTGGGAAAAGCGGTCTGTCTCTGCAGGCAGCTTCGCAGAGGTCAAGGACGTCGCCGCTTTCTCTGGAGGGTGGCAGGAGGGCGCTGAAAGTTGTCCCCCGGTGCGCCCACGCTGCTTCCCGCCTTCCAGCTGCCTTCTGCAGGGGCCGCGCGGCGTCCTGCCTGGTGGCTCTGCGCAGGCGCTGGAGGGAAGGTGGGAGAAGAGGAAGTTCCTGCCCCTCACCGCAGACTTCCAGCTCCCCCGCACCTGAGTCCGGGATGGCCCCGAAGTGTCCCCAGGAGCCTCAGATGACCCTGGACGGGAGGTCGGTGGCCGAGCCTTCCCCCTGCTTGGTGACCGTGGGCAGTCCTGCGTCCTCTCAGGCCCCGGCTGCGCCACTGAGCAGGGCCGGCAGGGCGGCCCGGGACGGTTGAGCGTGAAGCCCCTTTTCTAGGTTGACATTGTAGATTCGGAGCCTGAGGTTCGGTTGCCTGTGGCTGGGAGGCTAGGCCCCTGCAGATGCGGGGATTGTCACAGTCGCAGCTCGGTCCGCTGTCTCTTGGCCCAAGCCTTCAGACGCGGCGCGGCCTGGTTGCTGGTGTGCGGGTCTGGCCGGGGCCGAGTGTGTCCGATGACACCTTGCACCTCCCTGCAGTGCTCCTGGCCCCCAGCTCGCCCTCACCGAGGAGGCCCCAGGCTGGGAGTGGGCTCACTGCCAGGGAAGCGCAGGCTGTGGTGAGAGTTCTTGCTTCGGCTTGGTAAAGAGCATGGTCCCCTGGGCCACCCCCAAGAGGGACGGAGCTGGCCTTTGGTCCTGCCAGGAGAGGGCCTCGGTCTCCACCTCTACCCCAGGAGGCCGGAGCCTCCCCCATGGATCAGGCAACGCTTCTGCCACGGGGCAGCACGGCAGCGCCTTCAGCTGCTTTCCGTCTCCACCGTCAGCCCCAGGGACAGGGAGCACGGAGGCCACCCCCAGGGGTGGCTTTGAAGGGCGGGCCGTTGGAGGCCCCTGCAGGCTGGCTTCCTGCTTGGCCACCAGCCGGGAGGTCCGAGCCTCAGCGTGGTCACTGCAGCGCTTCCACTCCGCTCCTGCCAGGACCCCAGGGTGGAGGGTGGCTGGATGGCCTGGGGCTGGCAGGGTGACTGTGCGCCTTTTCCTGGCCGTCTCAGCTCTGCCTTGCAGAAGCCATGCTGGCCTCTCTGGCCAGGTGGGAATCACGAAGCTGCTGTCCAGCCTGGAGGCATCGAGGCCAGGGGCGCCCGGCTCAGGCCTGTCCAGGGCTAGCATGTGTTGCCCCCCAGCGGGCACCTCATCCCTGGGACCCCCACACATCTGCCAGGCACCCCCAGCACCCCAGCCTGGCAGGTGGAACCGCAGGTGTGGTTTCGGTCTTGGCAGGGGTGTCCTTGAGGACGGTGGCCCAGCAGGCCCATGCCTCGGACATACCTTTGGCTCATGGCCTGAGACAGCCCCGAGCGGCCTGCAGGGACACCCCCTTCCTGAGGGGAGCTGGACGCTGGCTATTTCCGCTCCAGGCCAACTTCTGCCCCTTCCTGTCACCAGGCCTGTACACGTGGTGGCATGCCGAGTCCCGGGGCAGGCCACCCCCGAACAGCCCGAGGGCCTGGCCCCAGTGCGCTTTCCACTTGCGGCCCCACCCTGGGCGACGCCCCTCTTTGGGCCCAGGCCCTCCGTCCCCCCGCAGAGCCATGAGTCCCAGGCCCCCGGGGGGCAGGGCCCAGCGTCTTCTTCAGCATCTGCTTCCCACTTTGTGTTGATGGTGACTTAGGAACTGTCACGATTTTCCAATATTTAACAAGGCAACGTTTAAAATAACATCCAGGCGAATGTATGTCATCTCTGTATTGATGTCTCTTCTGAAACGCTTTGTGGTTTGACAGCTGATGTCCTAGACAGGAGTCCCTGGGCTCTTGGGGACATTGTTTCTTCTCCGGGGGAGGAGGGAAGGACGACTGGGGACGTCTGGAGTCTCTCCGGATGTCCTGCCAAGGAGAAGGCCTCCGCATCTTCCCAGGGCAGGGTCCCCATTGAGAGGCTGCAAGGGCGTGCAGGGGCGCCCCCTGGTGGTGACGGGCGGCGCCGGCGTCTGGGGGCCCAACCCCGCCCAGCAGGGGTGGAGGTGAGCTGCGGACGCCCTGGACCCCTGGGCCGCTAGATGGGCAGGGTGTCGCCCAGGTGCCCTCTCGGAGGTCGTCCCAGGGGCTAGCGAGTCACTTGGCCCAGGGGCACTGATGGGAAGCCTTGCCCCCCCCTCCCTCCTTTATTATTTTTTTAAAATATCTGCGGAATAAACCCAATGGTTACTTTTTGAATGAATAAAAGGCTTTTGTTGAATAAACAGCTGGTGCCATCTCTGTCTTGCCGCTGGCCTCCAGACTCCGGCTCTGTCTCCCCAGGACGGGCGGGACACGCCCTGCCCCGTCCCGCCAACTTCCAGGACTTGCGGGGAGGCCCTTGTGGGGCCTCAGTTTCCCCGTCCGGCACGGAGGAGCCCGGCCGCCTCCCAGGGCCATCGAGGAGGACTCGCGGCCAACGGAGGGAGCAGGTGTGGCGCTGTGCTTGCTCGTGTCCTCTCCTGCTTGCTCCCCAGCTCCTCGGACTCTCCGTTCGGGGCGCCGTCCTGTCTGTGTCTCCGGGCGGGCGAGGGGAGGCCCCTGCCTGGCCGTGCGGGCCGGGGTGACGCGGCTGTGTCGCATGCCCTGGCCGCCGCCTGCGCGCCCGCTGTATGTCGTCCATGTCACGCAATTAAACACGCTTCCTGGACCTGTCCTCGCTGCGTGTGGGCTGTTGCTTTGTCTGTTTCTCTTTCTGTCTTGCTTCAGTGACACCCTCGCTCCCAGCCCAGGGTCCCCGGGGGAAGCCCGGACACAGGAAGGACCCAGGTGGGCAAGGGCGGCCCCGAGGGCAGCAGGGTGAGCCTCCTGTGAGTGACCTGAGGTATCTCCTTACCCCCACTGTGTCCGGTGGGGCCCCAGGACCTTGGCTGCTGTAAATTTGTGAAGCCGGATGAGGTGGTGCCTGCCTGTAATCCCACCACTCTGGGAGGCTGAGGCAGGTGGATCACAAGTTAAAGCGCACCCTGCGGAACTTGGGGAGACCCTGACTCAAAATAAAAAGGGAGCGAGGAGGCAGTCAGTGAGAAACCCTGGGTTCATCCCCGGGGTCCTGATGAGGTAGCTTGGTCAGAGTGGAGCCTGAGGAATGGATTCCCAACAAATCCTAGCCTGGCTGATGAGGCTGGTGTGGGGTGGCACTGTCAGACGCCCCTGCCGGGCTTCGGCAGCTGTGTTGTCCTGTGTGGTCAGAGCCCACAGGTGCATGGCTGACCCCAGGGGCTGTGACAGGGCGGGAGGTGGGTGACGGTTGCCCTTGGCCGTGGGATCTCCGAGGAGCCCCCCTTCACTCTCTGCTCAGGTAGCCCTGCTTGCTTAGTGTAGCTGAGCCTTCCCTGTGGGACACAAAGGATCAGAGAGGTGACGGTCCTTACTCTGGAGCTCAAGGAGGACACGTTAGTTCAGGGGACGATAAAGGGCAACAAGTCAAGAGAGTAATTGCCACTTAGAGATCTGTTGCTCCTAGCTGGGCAGCCTGGCACACACTTGTAATCCCAGCTACTCAGGACGCTGAGACAGGAGGACCCCAAGTTCAAGGCCAACTTGGAAAGAGCCGGTCTCAAAATTTAAATTTTTTTTTTTTTAAGAGCTGGGCCTATAACTCACGGTGAAGTCCTGGGTTCAATTCCTAGTACTCTTCCTAAAAGAAAAGACATCTGTTGCTCTAGGCCTAGGCTCTTGGAAGACACAGGAAGCGTGTGGGTTGACAGGATACAGCCACCCCCACCAGGGTGAACGGGTGAGCATCTGCCTGCAAACTCAGGCTGCTTTGCAGTTCGAGTTATTGTGAAAGGAATCTGCAGCTCCGCTCTGTGTGGAGGCAGAGTGGAGGGCCTGACACACCTCCCACTTCAGGGGCACCCATGGGCCCTCGATGCCATGCTGGGCCTAGCGTGCTGCCTGGTCCTGGTAGAACTTCTCCAGAATGGAAGGCAGTGTGGGACAGTGGTTAGGGGCACAGCGTCTGGAGTCAGGTGCCCCCACTTGACATGGGCACGGGTTCTGATTGCCAGGGGTAAAAACAGGGCCCTAAAAAAACAAAAACAAAAACAAAAACAAAAACGGGGCCCTCCCATGCAAGTCTTCACTGTCTACTTCCTGAAAAGAGGGAGTTCTACTACTCTTGGTGCTAATAAACACACTCTGTAGTGTAGACTTTAAGAATAGTGCATTTTTAAAATGCTAAGCCAGGTGTGGTGGCACATGCCCATAATCTCAGCACTCAGGAGGCTGAGGCAGGAGGATCGCTGGTAGTTCAAGGGCAGCCTGAGTTAAATAGTGACTTCAAGTCCAGCAGGAGATACACAGTGAGAGACTGTCTCAAAGAAACAAAATAAAACAAAAACTGCTGATGGGGCTGTCTCACCCCAGGTATTGTGGACTGCAGCACTTGGTCAGAGCAGTGGGCATGGAAAGGGCCTTGAAGGTCACCTGAGTTTAGGTGAAATGAGCTCAAGAAGGTGTAGTAGAACCCTTTACTTGTTCCCTACATCTCTTTTTAGCCTGGTGGAATAAAGGACTACATTTCCCAGCTTCCCTTGGGGCTAAGCATGATCATGTGACTCAGTTCTAACTAATGGGATGAGAGTGACCTGCTCCACTTCCTTCCCTTCCTCTTTTCCTTTCTGTTGGGTGGGACCAAGTCTTCCTAGGACCAGCTCCCCAAGCCTATGAGGCCACCACAGCAGCCCTGGAGTGTTAACACTGGGACTGTGACAAGGAGGAGAATATACTTGCAACTCACCTAAGCCGTCCTGGATCTGTGTCAAAAGCTGCATAGACTGTGTGATCCGCTGGCTCACTCTACATGGTGCCAGGCCACCTACAAATATTTGCATATAAACCCTCAGTGCTTGCCAAAGTCATCTAATAAAAGACCGCAAGGTGCGGAGTGCTGCGTCGCCTCCGCTACCTCTCACGCATGCTCGCGCCCTCCCTTCTTTCCTCCGCCCCCTCCGCCTCCGCGGCGCAGGGGATGGAAGTCTCTGCCAGAAGGATTCTTGGGGACGTCTTTGGATCAGGGCACCAGAGGCTCTGGAGTAGCTCGGAGCCCTGGGAGGCCCAGAAGGTGAGGCCGATTGGGTCCTTCCATTGGGAAGCCACGGGGAGGGCGCAGGGCAGGCTGGGCCTAGGCTGGGCTCAGGAAGGGCCTTACCAGGGGCTCAAGACTTGGGGTCCGGGCCTCTTGGTCTGTTCGGTCCCCTGCCTCAGATATCAGACCGTTTTCCCAGAGACCCCAAAGAGGCCATTCACAAGGAATGACATGAAGAGGAAATAGCTTTTCTTGGGGGGGGTCAGGGAATAAAGTGGGGAACAATCAAGTTGGCATCACTGCCCTAGGCAAAGACAGATCTTAGTTGAGTGCTGAACGCTGGCCTTCCCGGCGGCAGGGCCGAGCCTGGGGTGCTGCCGAGGGTTCACGTGACTTGGGGACCCTGAAGAGCCGGTTGGCATGCTGTGTGTCACCTCGGAGCAGCAGATGTGTGCCGCATCAGAGGCCAGGCTGGGACTTATCTTGGGGGGCAGGTGCCAAAGGCCAGCGTGGGAGACAGAGGGAGGGAGCTCCCTGTCACGGGGAAACTCTCAGGCCCACCCTGAGATTCAGATTCTACACCAAAGCTGCCAAATCTCATCAAGTCACAGCATAGACATTGTCGAAGGGGTTTCCAGGAAGAAGCCGGAAGCTAAGCAGGCTCCTCAGCGGCTTCCGGAGGCAGGGACAGGAGGCCGGCGTGTGAATGCTGGGCAGGCGCAGAGCCAACGCCAGGCCTCGCAAACACCTCGGGTGCACGTGCAGCCTGGATCAGAGTGCAACACACACACGGACACACGGAGTCACAACACCAGCCACAGGTGGGCACTGTGGGCGCCCCATTGCTGAGAGCTGGGTCACGGGGCCACGCTCAGCCCTACTCCCTTATTGCAGGCGGCTTTCTGCCTACCTAACGGGATGCAGAGCATCAAATGGCCAGCCGGGCGGAGAGGAATGCAGTGGGAGGGGTGGCGGTGCCTTCAGGGCACCCAAACACCAGCTTTTTCTAGCGGTGACTCCATGTGGGAAGAAGAGGTGCGAGGTCACCTCCCGGAGGTGGTGTGGACACGGGCACAGGTACTCCGAGCACACAGCACTGAGGTGCTTTCTGCTTCGCGGAAAACCTGACAGGATGTGTCTGTCTGTCTGTCTCTCCCTCTCTCCTGTGCTGGGGATGGAACCCGGGGCCTCCAACATGCTAGGCAAGGGCTCACCACTGAGCTGCACCACCAGACCTTTTCATTTTACTCGGGGACAGAGTTTAAGTTGCCCAGGCTCGTCTCGGCGCTGTGATCCTCCTGCCTCAGCCTCCTGAGCAGCTAGAATATCAGGAGAGTGCCACACACCCAGCTAGGTTGGCTGTTCTCCGTAACTCTGCCCTCTCTAACAGTTATCCAAGGGAGGACAGTACTGAGCCCCATATCCACCGTAGCCAGCACTAGACGCGCACTGCCCTCGTTTCCCCGGCCTCATCACATTGAATGCTCTCGGCAGCGCCCTCTCGGGGCTGGTACTAGTATTACACCCCACGATTTTGTAGTCGAGGCCTCCCAAGGGGCTTCGCTCTAGGAAAGGGCAGGGTCTGGGGGAGCTGCAGCCAGTTGCCCCTGGTCTGGAGGAGGAGCCCATTCCTGGGGTCCTGAGTCTGGAGGTGGAGGTGGAGGTGGGTGCTGGGCAGGGGCAGGGGCTGGCCCGGGGAGAAGGGTCCCGCTCCCCACTGCCGGTGCAGTATTCCGCGCAGTGTGGGCTGCGGCGGCTGCTGTCACTACTTCCATTTCCAGCCAAGGAAGCCGATGGAGCTGAACCACAAAAGTTCAGTGACTCGCCTAGGGCCACACAGCCAATGGAAGGCAGGGCCGGGGTCTGGGGCCCCGCCTACTGGACACAGAGCCACGATGGCCCCATCCTGTGATTCATCACCTTTGGCCTGAGGTCCTCTCCCCGGGTGGCCTAGAACTGGCCCTTCGCAGAGGCTGGGATTTTCCATCCCGTCATTGTGTGTGTGTGTTAGTAAGGACTGAACCCAGGGTCTTTGCACTGAGCTACATCCCCAGCCCTTTTTTATTTTTAAATTTTTTTTGAGACAGTGTCTCACTGAGTCACTGAATTGCCCAAGCTGGGCTTGAATTTGTATTTCTGCCTCAGCCTCCCCAGTGCGGGGGTGACAGGCGTGCGCCCCTGTGCCTGGCTGCAGTGCCGTGCAGGGGGAGACCAGGCAAGCACTGGCTCCCTGGAAACGCGCACCCGGTGGCAGCAGGGCAGCTGGGCGGCCAGCGCTGCCTTCTGTCCGTCCCTGCCGTGGCAGAACAGCGGTGACCTGGATACCCTGGGGCACAGGGGACCCCCGGGACTCAGCCTGACTGGTGGCTGCCGTCTCTTCTCCGGGTGCCTGGCTACAACTGCGGCCTGGGTGGGTGACACCGTATTGACTGGGCCTGTGCTCAGCCTCCCCATCTGGGTATCGGGGAAGCAGAGGTGCATTTCTCTGGGCCGTGGGCAGGTGCCAGGGAGACCACATGGGAAGTCTGGGTTCTGCGGAGGTGGTGATGTCCCTGCCACCCGGTCCTTTCCACCCCGAGTTGCTGCCCCTTCCCTCGTCCCCGCATGGCCCAGCAGTGTGGCTC